TTCCCCCATGTTTTGGTGAACCCTCATCCATTGCATCCACGCCAGCTTCTGCAAAGTCAGTGGCTTTGCGGGATTGGGCGGCCACCATCAGAATCCAATAGAATCTGCCAGATCAACCACAAGCATCAAGTCTACTCCTTACCGGCTCCACAGATCACTCACTATAACCAGATGCAGCTGCTGTGGGTGGGAGGCCCGAAGCTGGTGGTCTACTGGCCATGGGGAGCATGCCTGTGAGGAGGGAGTCACAGCAGTGTGAAGGAGTGTGAAGTCCGTGTGAAGTCGGTGTCCCCACAAAACCCTAAAACCCTAATTGCATGTAGTACATAAGAGTGCCACAGCCGGTTTGCACAGTCTCAGGACCCTCGCCCGCTTACCAGCATATGCAAGCAACACTTGATGGCACTGAATGCGTGCCTAGGCATGAAGGACCACTAAGGCATGGAAATCCTTGTACATTCTTTCTTCCCTAAAATAGTGAATCCCTGTCGACTACCTATACGTGCCAACCTCGTACATATAATGTAGTACATACAAGGTTAACATAACATATATATAGATAGATGTATATATATATAACATACTAACATAAATAACAGTACTCATGGGTATGGGTAGGTTGGCAAACAGAGTGGTGGAAGTTGTGTGCAGAACCAATCCCAATGGCATTGTGATGTGTTAATGTTAACTTACATCTGGACATTTTCTGCCCGGTTAGCTCAGTCGGTAGAGCGCAAGGCTCTTAACCTTGTGGTCGTGGGTTCGAGCCCCACATTGGGCGAGAATGTCCCGTATGTGTGTAAAAGGGACATCAGTAGACCAGTGCCCTGCACCTAATGTAACTATTATGCAGGCTTAGACATTCATTCATTCCTGACCCCCTTCTCATAATATGTCCTCGTCATGGTGCTGAATTTCTGACTTGTATTCCTGCTGGATGGGATGGGATATGATGGGATGCCTGATTCCAGAATTGCGAATTAGCCCACAGCTACTTGCATTATAATTATCAGTCCATCCATGCTTTATCAGTATGCGAAAACCCAAACTCTATAACACCCTTTTGCCTGCTCTATCTCTTGTTTTTATGGCACCGGAGAGTTTGCCAGCTTTTTCCTATAGCTAGGCCAACACGATTAGCAAAAGCCTCAGGTGGGG